GTACAGCAACGTTTGCGACTTTTTTTCAAGAATTGGTGAAGTTTGGCTTTCTCTTTTCCGTAAAGGCCGCCATGCCTATTCACTAGCGCGTCAGAAAGGAGATCGCAGCCTCACGACCAGATCATTTTATTCCACGCACCCTCCTTTTGGTCCGCAGTCGCAAAAGTCATGTGGAACAGCCGACGCTCAGTCCTCAATCCTTCGGACAGGCCCTGCTCATACGCTACCAGCGGGGGGGCACACAATTTCAGGACCAACCATGCACACCACAAGCGAGGGGCCCAAAAAAAGAAAAAAGGCGCACCGGCGTTGACGGCCTCCTTCTGCGCCTGCACCGCGAGCTGGCTCTTCTTCGCGATCTCCACGGCGAGCACGACGGCCTCGCGCACGACGGCGCCCTCGCCCTCGCCGACGACGCGGCTGGCCATGCCCCACGCGGCGGCCTCCTGCGCGCCCCACGTGCGCCCCGTGAGCGTGAGCTCCATCGCGCGCGACTTGCCCACCGCGCGCGCGAGCCGCTGCGAGCCGCCGCCGCCGGTGATCGTGCCGATGTTCACCTCTGGCTGGCCGAATTGCGCGTTTGGCGCCGCGAGGAGGATGTCGGCCATCAGCGCGAGCTCGCACCCGCCCCCGAGCTGCGAATAGAAAAAAATGAAAACGTGAACACAGACAGATTCATGCGCCCGCCGCTCGTTTCGGTTTCACTTACCGCGTAGCCGCTGACGGCGGCGATGATGGGCTTGCGAATGGTCGTGATTGCCTGCCAGCTCTCCAGGAACCTGTTATGGTACACATCCGCGACTTTTTTTGGAAAACAGTGGGGGTCCAAAATCAGTTCTCATATACTCCGCACGACTTTGTGTAAAACTGTAGAACCGACGACTGTAGTTTCAACACTCACACGACTTGTCCTTCATCTCCTTGATGTCAGCGCCCGCTGACGCAAAAAATTTCCCCCAAATCCACATATCAGCGCCCCTGCACGAGCGAAAAGCGGGGCGGGGGCGGAGGAGGGCACTGCGCACCAGCAAAAGCCTTCTCCGAGCCCGTGAGGACGATGGCGCCGATCTCCTCGTCCGCGTCGATCAGGCGCAGGGCCTGCTTCAGTTCGGCGAACAGCGCCGTGTTGAGCGCGTTGAGCGCTTTGGGGCGGTTGAGCGTGACGAGCGCGACGCCCGGCTCCGGGCGCGACGTGAGTATGTTCTCGTATGGTGTGTTGAAGGCGGACATGAACCGGGCGGTGAAGACGAACTTGTGTCGTGAGAAGGCGCTACGGGCTGCGAGTTGACGCAAAAAGGACATGGTGTACTAGTGGTGGCGAACCGGTTGAAGCGCTGGACGGTGCGGTGAGAGCCGCACACGGAACGGACACCGACCGTCATCGCTTTAGTCCGAGCCGAGGACGGGCACATGTGACTGACTGGGCTAAACAAACACAACATTCTATACAGCGATGACGACGAACAACTAGCAATTATCGATTATCCTTGGTCGGGTCCATGTAAAGACGCATCCAAGGTACACAGTTCGGACTATCCAGAGTGAGTGAGTCGAGGCGAGGTAACTACTACTGTGCTTCTGTTCAGTTCAGTTGCAAAAGAACTACTGGTCCACAGACACGGAAAGAAGACGAAGCACGGACGACTACAGGAGAATGAGAGGAAACAAACACAGTCATAGATCTGTATTACCGAAAATCCAATGAATGAGACCGCTCATAGCAGCTTGCGCCAACCAGCATCCTTAGCCTTCTTGACAAGTCTTTTCACTTCCTGTGAGCGGGCACGCGTCGTGACCATCAACGTGTCGGGCATGTCGACAATGACGAGATCGTCCACGCCCAAGCACGCGACGAGCCGGCCAGAACCAGGCACGACGATGCCGCCAGCGACTTGCTCAGTAAGAACTGTGGAGAGTGTGTGAAGGTCATTGCGCGGAACCGCCAAAACTAAAATAGTGAACGCACCTAATCCACTATCGCCAAGAATACAGGGCTGGTTTGCTTCTGCAGGTAAAAGCTCGGTAATCGACGAGAAGTCTCCGACGTCATCCCAACCTGTGGGCGCGGCCAGCGATTAGTCTGCGCCAACCGCCAGAGAATATATCCGTACCGAACGTTGCCGGCACGACAGCGACGCGGCCCTCCAACGCCGCGGGCTCCGCAACAGCGTGGTCAATAGCGATCTTTTCGAGACCGGGCCACACCTCCTCGAGAACCTTGTTGCGTTGGGCCTCATCGTCCCAGACATCAGCAATTCTCGAAAGACCTTCCTCAAGATCGGGTTTATACTCCCTGAGCAATTCGAGCAAGAATGAGGCCTTCGTGACGAACATCCCAGCATTCCACCGGTAAGAACCGGTGGCGATATACGCGGCGGCCGTGCGCGCGTCGGGCTTTTCCTTGAAACTCGACACGAGGCGCGCATTCGGTGCGTCGGACATGCCAAGCCTGTCCCCCAGCCGCACATAACCGAAGCCCGTCGAGGGGTGGGAGGGGGCGATGCCAATGGTAACGAGGTAACCCTTTTGCGCAACTAGGACGGCTTCAGAGACGGCGGTAAGGAAAGCGTCTGTGCCTGAGATCATATGATCAGCTGCAAACGAGCCAATGACGGCATCGGGGTCACGCCGGGCGAGGATCGCCGCAGCCAGCGCGATTGCGGCCATCGAGTCTTTCGGGCCGGGTTCACAGAAGAGGTTACGGGGCAATAAATCAGGGAGTTGTTCGTGGATACTTTTAACATGGGCGGGGCCGGCGACGACCGTGAGACGATCGGCGCTGGAGAGAGGCAGTAGACGATCCCAGGTTGCTTGAATGAGGCTGCGGCCTTGAAGGGTCACGTCGAGGAGGAACTTTGGATGGTTCTCGCGCGACAGGGGCCATAGGCGCGTGCCGGCGCCTCCCGCAGGAATGACAACATAGAACCTGGAATTTCACGAATAGGGCCGTAAGGATAAGAAGTGATGCAATTGTCGCCCAGTGGCGACGCTATGTGCACGGACGGTGCAACGGCAAGCGAGGGAATCGAGTGCGAGTTGAGAAACGGAGACTTTGCGCGAAGTTGCGGAGAGCTGGGGGCCGGGGTGGTGAAACCGGGGGTCCCTATGTGAGGGCTACGAGTTTGCTGTCCACCGCGAAGTTAGCTTTTCTTTCCTTGTTGCGCGCAGCGACACTGGGAAGGAAGGAGACGCACGGCGGCAACGATGCCCTCCCTGACCTGACGCTCGAGACTCAGATTGGCCTGGCGCAGCTCGGTACATTCTTGACGAAGCTCAGAGATCTCAGCGCGCTGTCAAAAGGGGGCATCAAGACGGTTGTGAACACGCTCAGTGACGCGTAGGACCAACTGATTTGTGAACGACGTCCAGGATTTGGGCAAACATGGCCTCGACGCCCGAGGGACCAGTACCAAACGGGGCCTGGGAAGCCAACGGCGAAATTGGAGAGCGAGAGAAGGACATGATTGGGAAGAAAAAAAAGAGGGACGAGGAGAGGGGGACAGGTGGGATATTGATGGTTATATTATAGGCTAGCGTTTGTGAAAAACCACAACGTGTCTGTCTTTCGCTTGTGCGCTCGCCTCGCACGTGGCCCACCGCTCTCAACTGTCACTCGACTGTCCCTGTGATCCTGTCTGATGTCCCTTGTTTTGTGACAATCCGAAGGTTTGTTCTACATCCGGGGAGCACTTCGGTGACCCGGGTGCAGTGGCTACGAAACGATTGATATGTCCGCACCATCGGCATGGCACTCATGATGTCCGTCCCAGCGCATCTCCTCACGTCAATTCCCTCTCTCTCTCTTTAAGGTTCTTGTTGTCAATGCATCATTCCTTCCTGTCGAGATAGACTGTCAAACTCCAGTCCAGCGAGTTGCTCGTCCTCCGCGATCACTACCCCAGGGCGCTGCGCCCATCCACAGCATGCCAGAACGAGGAGGGCGCCAAGACCCGTCACGCACGTCTGCATGCCTGCGCCTACCGACATCCGCTAATTTGGCTGTCCTGCATTCCCTGTTCTGACGGGCCCCCCCGCCCAATCAGCGCTCGATTAATTGTTTCCATACCTCCGTGCTTCACCCACCAACGTTGGTCGTCTCCTGGCTTGCTAGCGTCTCTCTCCTGACATATCTGGCACATCCCTTCTGTGGTTGCACATGCAACTAGTGCTAGCGCGCTGCTCACAGTGCCCACTCATGACCCATTGATTCCCATCACGAAACACGGTGGAGAGCTGTGTGGCCATCCGGACTTTGCGTGGCCGTGGTTGACCTGAGTATGATCAAACGGCTTCTCGTACCGCGATCCTGGCTGTGATAGAACTGACGGGTTGGCATCACCTCATGATGCTCGCCTTGGCCCGCCTGATAAAACCAAGCGATTTTTCATTAATCAAAGATGGGTTTCGATAGTCATAATGTATCACTTTCCCAGGATCGGAAACTCTCGGAGCAACAACCCAAAGTCTACAAGTCACCAACCAAAGACAAACTGATACCAAGGTACCGTAAATGAGTTTAGCGGTGGGACCAATCACTCCGCTTAGCACTTGCGGCCGTACCGGGCCTCTAGACAATATGCATCTGCTTCAGCCCAATATGGGGATCATGAGTGTGAAACAAGGTTGTGGGCGCCACTGCCGCACGAGACGAACTTGAAGGCAAGAATTAGGCGCGTAAATATGAGCTTGCACACACCTGCTTGAGCTGCTTCTCGATAGCTAATCTCCAAATACATACGATGCTTGTAAGCAATCCCCCAAAAAGTAGGCATATTCCGCGGCATGCTACGTGACAAACAACTTTTCCTCGGTACAGTAGTCTAGCCGTTGTTTAAGTTAAATTAAAGCACCCGTGTTGCCAGGCAACTTGATCAAACCGACCTGGTGATCGTCTTCTCACCCTTGGCCCTGGTTACTTACATCTGTGACAAGACCCATGAGTTGAGTCATGGGTGCTTCTCCATAATCGCCACATCCCCGATCATAAAGTAAGTCAAAAAAGGCGCTACCAGGGCTCGAACCTGGGTTAACGGAAAACAGCCAACATCAGAATCCGTTGTGATAGCCACTACACTATAGCGCCAGGATAAGCACATTGGAGAAGTGCAAGTCATAAAGCACAACGAAGCAACGGCTAAAGTGCCATATTCTCTCTCTCAGCGCCACAGAGCTGTTTTGCGCTTCTTCGGGTGTGTCGGGATGCGGTGACTCGGACGGGCCGAGATGGGCCCTTGAGCGTAACCTCCGCCTAACCCATGATGGACTGACGGTGTCCACCAGCTGAGCAAGCAATCAAATTGCTTCTGAGCATCAACAACTTCAATGTCAACCAACCCGTCGCATATACTCATCGCGCGCAACTCTCGCGGCCACTCAAATGCATCCGCCTCTCTGAGCTCGCCTACAGAGACCCATGCTGCTGCCGCGGGCATTTTCCGCTCCTCGGCCGGATCGCCTCCGTGGTTTCTCGAAGGGGTGGACACGGAGGATGCGGTTTCCGACGTCAGCATCAACGACTCGCAGGAGCCCATCGATGTCGATGAGGCATTTACAAAGTGCTCCAAGTTCCCCGGAACGGTCAAGATCGTCGTCGAGAGCACCACGTTCTGGTACGTGTGGTTGCTCACCCCGACCTTTGCTCTGATCGCTGATGGGGGGGCGGAAAATTTTCAGGGCACACAAAGAGGTACTTTGGTTCGCCTCCCCATTCTTTCAGGCCGCTCTGAGTGGAAACTGGGCCGAGACCGGACGCCCGCTCTCAATGTCCTCTGTGATCACGATCTCGCAACCTCCAATAGTCCCCGGGGACAAGGTACATCCCGATATGCCTACGGCCATGACCTTTGCACCGGTGGACCCCGACTTGGATCGCGACGAGCTGGACATCGACATTTCAGAGTCGAGTGAACCCGAGGTCATCGAGTCGTCCACTACAACCTTAGCTGGGTCTACAAAGGACAGCAGGCAGACCAATGGGCCTGAGGCCACATTTGGTACCTCCACTGATGCCGAGGCCCAGAAAAAGGCCCACGAGGCCGCGCGAATGGAGAGCCTGGAAAAACTTCAGAGAGGTGCCGGTGGGAATGCCGGCGCGGGCTCAGCTGAATCGCCAAGAGATCCGGACAAAGAGAAAGGCAAAGGCGTCGTCAAACTTTCTTGGAAACGTGGAAACGCGCAGATATCTGCCAGGCATCACCAATCGACGAGTAGTCCGGATGCCGTCATAGTCCTCAAGGAGGAGAAGGTGTGTCTCCTTTGCTACGCGTTCAAGAACCCGGTCTCATTTGATGCCCCAGGCGAGTACCTTTCATGATTTTCTTCGGTTCGTCTACCCTGGGTACGCCTTTCCTCTTGTAGTCCTTCGGAAAAGGCGCACCGTTATTCACCTTTATGACGCAGCATGGAGTGCACGATCACATGGAACAACGTGGAGGGCCTCATGAACATCGGAAACAAACTCTGCGTGCCTTCGTTACAACGAATCTGCCTCAACTTTCTCCTTACCCACGCAGCCGGTCGCCCGATCAAGGCAATGCGTATCGCAGAACTCTTTGAGGAGGAAGAGCTGTACCGTGAGGCCTCACGCTTCGTGCTCGACAACCCAGGCGGGTGGCCGGAGCATGAGCTCAACACGCTCAGCAGCGACACGCTACTGAAGCTGGAAAAGCGGTAAGTCCCCTTTCCCTTCCTCTATCCCCCCCAGAGGTCAACCCTCATCGTGTTCACTCCCATTGCACCCCCGCACAGGCGTACTTGGTTTCTCGAACGAGTGCTCAAGCTGGGTCTCGTTCAGATCGCTAAAGAATATGAATGCGTACGTCGACTCTCCTGTCTCCTACTTTCGAGTTCAGGACGGGCATATGGACTGATAAGAGGACTCGCGTGTATCCAGTGCCCATCTTGCCCGGACCCGCTTACCTGCGCGCGACTGCTCGACGAAAAGTGGCGCCAGGCCTATCACTCCGTCTTCCGTTTCGGTCCCTGCCAGCCCTCGATGGTCTTCCGGTACCTCCGCACGCTCGAAGGGGTCAGCCCGCCTCTCGCGCTCTCGCACCTCACGTGCCAACGACGGCCAAAGCGTTCATAGCTACACGTACGTGGCGCCATCGGCACCTCCTGAGCTCGCGTCTCGGTGAATCCATAACTAATTTTTTATTTATTTTTTCCATTCGTTTCTATAGTGTTCGATCGCATGTTCTCGCTCGGCGTGCGCGGAAGCGGCACGGACACGGCCCCCCTCGGTGCGCGCGTTGCTGCGGTCGCGGGCATGGCAAGCGCGACGCTGCCGCGGCGTCATTTCTTGTATTGCTCCCTCAGGCCAGAGAACCCCGTTCCGCCACGTGGACAGCGACATCACCGTCGCGAGACCGGGTTGTGAAGACCTGCCATAGGTGCGGGCTTATTTTTCTTCTGGCTGCTCGGGGAAGTTGACTTTTTCTTCCGTCGTGTGCGTTCGGTTGATGTCCGTTCATCACTATTTGCCGCCGTTTCAATTTTTTTTTTCATGTATATTTGTTTGTGAAATTGCACTTTACAGTAGGTTGGTTCGAGATTGGAATTGGGGGTGTGGGCCAGAGCTGCGCCACTGGCCATGTAGAAAAGTTTTCTGGAGACAAAGTTTTTTTATTGTCTTGTCTCCGCTTCTCCCGGTCCTTTGTATATCATTGACAACGGGGCCGTTATGTAGTTACATGTCGTAGCTGCGCATTGCGGTGATATACGCTGTTTGCGCCTCAAACATGACGTGTGATTACGTCTCATGTTTTTCGTCTTTTGATGGTTTCGTCCTTGGTTTCGTCACACGGATTGCCTTTGCTCCGGGAAGATATGAGATTGAACATGATGATGAGTGATGCTGACCGGGGCGTGATTACCTAGTGGATATATCTATATCTCAGTATACATCTTTAAAGTGTCCGTCACGTCACTGATCATCCTTACACAAGCACAAGACAGATAGTCATACGGGTCATGGGTTGTAGCCAAAAGACTTTGTACATCTTCTTCCAGAATAGAACTGAGCTTCCATTCACTCATTTAGAAACGTCACCTCGCACCAAACCGTGCGCGCTCCCGGCCTGCCACCCCCACCCACTCAGAGCACGGACTGGAATTGCGAGCAGAGTCGCACGACCAAGACACCGAGGTTCGGCACACGCGACACGATCGATCGCGTCAGAAAGCAAAGAAGAGAAGGAGAATGAAAATTTGATTAAACGCCAGGACGAGAAATATTGCACAGAGGGTACGCAGTCCGGTACAGTACTGGCAGCGATGATGATGAGGCGGAAGCGGAAGAGGAGAAAAGAAACGGTCCCGATCGCGGAGGTTTCATGTGCCCTTACGTGGGGTGGGGTGGCAGCTATCAGCAGGTGGCGGGCGGGGGGAGAACATTGATAAGATCGAGTTTCTTTGAAGGTGTTGGGATTGCGCGTGACCCGCGCCGGGAATACGCTCAGACGATATATGTATATGAGTGAGCGGCCCCCATCATAAAAATAACTCATGCGCGCCCCACGGAAGTGCCCATTCTCGGGGGGGGAGAAGGTCGGATAGAAGCAAAAGCGGAAGCGGAAAGGTCCAGATACCACGGCGACGGTGGTGCGAACGACACCTGCCTGCCTGCCAGTGCCGGCGGCGAGAGAAAAAGAAGAGGGTGGCTCTTTATGCATTATGAGCCGTTTTCGCGGCGTTCATAGATAGCAGGGGCGGCCGGTTGGTCCAACGTAATGCGTAACGCGGGAGGAATTAAGAGAATGAAAGCAGGAGCCGCGCGCCATAGTAGCCATCTTATCTGGGTCTGACGACGCCGTCCCTTCCCTTCCCAAAAGAAGCTCCCATTTTTCCTTTATGGGGCTAAGAACTGCCAGAATCTTGCGCGTTTCGGTGGGTGCCACGCCACGCCATCGCAACATAACTGTGGGACAAAACCGCCCCCGTTCCCCAAGGACAGAGTAGAGCTCCGAGTCGCTGGCTCTGGCTTGGCTCTTCGCCAGCGCCGAGTTCATCGAATTGCGAGTTATGGGGAGCGCCCGTCGCCCGGCGCCGAGAGGTTTCGACCGCATCTATCGGGAATATCACTGACACATTGACACCGACCCAGAAACCATGCACAGCCCGAATATGTGCGAAAGATGCGAGACGGAGAGGGGTTCGTCGTCATCCATCGTTTCGTGACTTTGGTTCGGAGCTTTTGTTTGTTTGTTTGTTTGTTTTTTCGATTTCGAGGGACCCAACGAATCAGAGAGAGACGGACATCTCGGGTGAGAAGAAGAAAGGGTACGAGAAGGTATCGCCGTCGCGCCCAGGCTCTGGATAGACAGACAGACAGACAGACAGATAAACCAAGTTATTGTAAAGGGTGCGTGCGAGGAAAGTGTACATAAGAGCAGTCTGCACGAAGCGGAGTATTGCCGAGGACCATCATCAGAACAGAACACTTCTCTCTCATGCTCCCGCAAAGAAGGGAGAAGCGAGAACTGCGGATGACGAGCGGACCGCTTCATCGGAATGTTGAGCGACCACGTTCTCTCCCCCACCGAATCTATCCACATCGTACGGAGAGATATCGGAAGATGACAGACACTCTTTTGATATTGACTGTTTGGAACGCGCTCATTCCAACATGCCGTCGCTCCCCCCTACCCTGATCTTCCCCGTTCTTCTCGCATAGCGAGGTACCCTCGGTGGGGGTCGGTGGTTCCTCGCATAACCTCCCAAGTAGAGTGAGAGCGCAAAATAACAGAAAAGGACCTCTGCTTTTTTTTTTTTGCTTTGCTTCGCAAGCAACGGAAACGGAAACGGGTAACCGGTGTCTCTGAGAGGCCGAGATGAGCGAAGTCCTTCGCAACCATCGAGGCTTCGGTTTTCGGCGCCCTTAGCAAGAGTCCAAAAAGTTCGTGGCGTCTCGCGTCTCTCGCCAGCCCTTCCTTACTTAGACTTTAGACGAGCACCAAGCACCAGCTGACAAAACAGAAAAACCCCAAAATAGATCGCAGAGGTGTGTTTCCCGAGCTGGCGTTATCAGATTCAGACTTGTCGGTCGTGGAAAGTCATCGTGACGTGATCGTGATGCAGTTACCG